TTCTCAGCAAATAGTGTTTATAGTTCTATATACTTAATGAATAATAAGTGTATTATTATTAGCACCTAGCAATCCTTTCTGATGTTTGAGCCTATAAAGAATGAGCCCTCACTTCCCAGTAGACACTATTGCAGATCCTTGTCTTAGTAAGGACAAGACTTTCTGGTGAGCCTCTGAAAAGGAAAAGTAGAATGAGTATACCACCCTTTGACAAATGCTTTTGTCACAGGCCCACATAGGGTCCTGGAGAGCTATGAGCACAAAGGTCTTTGCTGTATTGAAATTTCCATTTTACGTGTGAGTGCAGAAATGAAGCACAGAAAGAAGATGGCATATGAGCATCACTTGGCTAGCTCTCAGTGAGCAAGGCACTGATGACTATAGCAGAATGTCCTTAGGACTCATTTTATTGCTACTTTTTTTTTTTAAATAAAGAGAATAGTATTTGGTTTTACCCTGTGTCTTTGCGCTGTCTAGTCTCAGGTTTTTGGTACCCCAAGCAGTGTCTGGTTTGAGTTCCATGTTGTGGATCTTAACTCAAATTAGATATTGGTTTCTTATTCTTACGAGTTTTATGCCACCGTTGTACTATCATCCCAAAATCAGGACAGTGACAAAGGAATGGAGTGGACAGCAGGAAAATGCATAGAATCAGGTGCAGGATTGATGAGGGGGAATTCGAGCAACAGGACTATAAGCTGGATATTGTGTTTGAGAATACATTATAAGATGTAAACCCAGCCAGGTTGTGGGTAGGTCCTAGTTCAGGTATTTGAATATTTTGTAACCACAAACATCTGGGAATTGTTGGGAATTATTGTTAGTGTGGAAATCTGTATGCATAGTGTGGAGACCTGTTGGAGATCAATAGTAGGAAGTTAGGGAGGCAGGGGTGTGTTCCTTAAGACCACGATAGTCATTGAGGAATTGGAAAGGTGAATACTCAAGGGATTATTTACTCTGAACAGTAAATAACAGTAAATAACAGGAGTGGAATGTGTGTGGTATACAGCTGAATATTATATGAGAGGGAAGACTCGACACTAATACCTTCCTGTACAGGAAACAACTTGTAATTGTCCTAATGCCATTCCACTGTAGACGAGCTGGTTGCAGGCAGTATGACTCAGGTAATTGAAAGAAGGCCTATGTGATTGAATTGTCACTGAATTAGACAAAATAGAGAGCCTTACAGTATTTTAGCCAACTTTGCTAACAGTTCTGTTTTTACTATGTTTATTGTAAGGGTATAACATTCATTTCTTAGTCAAAAGATGTGACATAGTTGAAAGGTAAAAGATAAGGAGGAACTTCTAGGACTCCTCAAATGTATAGAAACTTCAGGATGGATAGCTTTCTGCGCTTGAAACTGTTTTTCCCCCTGATGAAGCAAACCAGTGTCTTAGGCTTTCTAGCTAAGCTCTCTACCACTTAGATAAGCCTTAAAACTGGCATGTAAAACAAGTGTCCTCTTGTGAGATTGAGCCCTTGTCCTGCAGACAGTATACTGTCCACTCTCTGGGTCACACACAGATACACCTCTAAATTAACACTTTCTTGAGAGTGTACATTTGAAAATTTCCCTATATATTTGAAATTGCTCATGAAAAACAATCATTGGTACCTGAGGGTAAAATTCTGTTTAAAGATGAACAAATGAACTATTTATGAAAATATAGTAATTGCTATTTAAAAAAAAAAAGCATCAGGGGGATTCTTAAATTACTCTTTCATGTTACCTTTTGGATAGCTCCAACCATTAGATTGTGTGTTATTAGCCTGGAATTCACACACTCCTTTTCTCTTCCAAATGTGGTTTGGTCCTTACTTAAAAGCTACCAGTGAGAGGTTGGTCAATTACTTTTAAATTCACTTAACCACAGTGTACAAGTAATGTAATCAGAGAGTACTGATGAAGCAGAAGAAATGGCTTAGTAGAATTTCTGTCTGTAGAGTAGCTACACAAGCATCATTTTAACAGGTGGCTTACTTCTCTTGCTGTTGGCCTTAAATGTGCCTGCAAGCACCTCTAATGTTTTGCTTTGGAACACTGTGACTTTCATTAGACTCATGCCTCAATGTTCTGTTGACCTGCAATGTAGTGGTAGTGATGACCTCCATGGCATTCGTACTGTTTCTTAAATGTTGGCATCAGTTATTTCAAACTTTAAGTTTTATAATTTCTTATTCACTGCTACAAATAAGAAAAACACGATATAAAGAGGATGTCATCCTATGTTAGAAAATTTGCTCTCTTCTGCCATGTCAGTGAGGTAACAATTTAAGGTGAGAAATTCTGTTTTCACTGATGTTGAAATAGAGCATAAGAGAAGTTGCTTCACATCACAACAGAGCAATCCCCATGCACTGTACTGGTTAGAGAAGCCTTCTATTCAGTGGAGACTAGTGTTCTTGTGTATTCAAAATGTGAGTAGACAATGAGTACTTTAACAGCCCCTCCCCTAGTACTCCAGGGAGAGAAAGGAGAGGCTGTGGAGCTTGAATGAGTCATCAGTGGCCAGTGTTTTAATTACCATTGCCATTGCCTTGTAATAACACTCCAATGAAGACTGAAAACAAAGAGGCTAAGGGAATTTCCAGGTCTGTGAACCTCCTGATGTTCTGGAAGCAAAGCATGCCCAAAGGGCAAGATGCTCTGCTAGTCTTCTGATTTCTGTAATGGGTGTCACCTTATTTATACTTTTCCTGTGTCATGTCCCATTTTAATAACACTGCCACTATAAGGACTGCAGTTTTCCAAGTTCATGAGCCATCCTAATGAACTCTGGAACTTTAGGGAAGAGGCCTAGAAAAATCCTAAAAATTCTAGCCAGTTCAGAAGTATAGATGACTGCCTGGACTTGAAGTTGGCATCTGAAATGAAGGTTGCTTTATGGAATTAAATCTGTGTTCTGAGCATGCTACTAACTTTCTATGGTTAGTGATAGCCTAGCATTGAATTGTGGGAAATCCAGCTGTAAAAATATAAGAGAAATAGTTGGTGTTGAAAAGTCTATGTTTAGTTCAAGAAAACAACAACAACCACCTAAGCTCTAACAAGCCCCTACTAAGAACATCACCAATGTTCTCCAGCACTTTTCTTTTGTGCTTTTGTTTTCCCACTGTCCTCAGACTCACAGTTGTTGATTTCTATTGTCGGGAACCATTTTCTCTATACTTTCTTTAGAAAATTTACAGGTGGTTCAGAAACATACTTACTGAAGCTTTGGAACCCCTTATTAAACAAAGTTCCAAACCCACATAAGCACATTTTATTAAGTAAATGTGTGTTGAGCCAAGCTTCTGCTGTGCATCTGTTTTGAGGTTCCGGTTAGGCACATTTCTCAAAATTTCCCCTATGCCTTTTGTTTCATGAGGGTCCCCAGATTCCCATTTGTTGTTTCCCTAGATTTTCCCTAATACAGTATTTTGAGTATAAGTTTTTATTCGTTGGTAGGTAATGAATAAAGGAGCCTTGTAACCTGTGAGATTAAGATATCCTTTGTTAGAAAAACACCAGCCAAATGCAAGCCAGAGCGTGCCAGGGTCAGCAAGGCAGGGAGGCCAGAGAAAAGGGGCTCCCATGTGCCTTGCTGCCCCTTAAAACCCTATCACGAATCATCCTGACCTCACCTTGACCACGCCCTGACGGGTGTGTTCAGGCACACCTGTAGCCAGCTTCTAGTGGGTGTGGCTTACACTGTCCCCTACAGGTAGGATATTACTGTAAGTATTCCTTCTTAAGAAAGAACACTGGACTTTTTAGTTGTCTCTGCTTTTATTGCACACTAAGCCCCAGTTTCCTCATTTTGTAATGTTCTTGTGAGTAAGGCAAATCATGCATCTATCACTACTCAGCAAGAATTACTATATATCATTTTTTTTTGGGGGGGTCAGGGGGCTCAAGACAGGGCTTCTCTGTGTAAGAGTCCTAGTAGTCCTGGAACTGGCTTTGTAGACCAGGAGGGCCTCAAACTCAGATATCAACCTGCCATTCTTTTTTTCTGTAGCAATTTTTTTGTGTCAAGAGGATAAATTATAATTGTTGGTTTTGTTGTTGTTGGGTTTTGGCAGTTGTTTTTTGTTTTGTTTTGTTTTTCTTAAACCAGGTTCCATTTTTTTCTGGACCTTTAGGGTGCCTCACTGAGATGTTCACACTTACCGGTAAAGCTTCACTCAGTCCTTATAATCTGAAGTTAGAAAATGAAAGGATGATTACAATTATTTTATTAATTTAAAAATATGATTTTATATAATTCACATTCATTAGAATTTTCTATGAAAACTTATCTAAACCTAAAGCAAATAAATATTCAAAAAGTTGTTTTAAGGGCACGGTGTCTACTTTCTGTAATTGTAACTTCTTCCCTTAGTCATGTAAAGTGGCTGACTCTTTAGAGGTTTGAGAATTAATTTTTATCCTTACTGTTTGCTGCAAGGTCAATTCATTCTGCCTATGCCTCAATGCACTTGGTTCCTATGGTTGTTCATGTGTTCTGTGAGGGCAGATTCAATTCAAAGATGGCGCCTGCCAGTGATTAGATAATAATAAGCATAGGTGGTTCCTAGGTTCTGGTAAAGAGTGTGTTTGTCATCTTACATGCCCTCTTCTATCTTTTCTTTGCTATGAGAGATTGTTTTGACGAATAGAGAAACTTTTCCCACATCTACCCAGCTATTCACCAGTTATCTCTAGACATATCTTGGAAAATGTAACAATTGTATTTGATTTCAGGATTTCAAATGACCGACTCCCTTTGCCCTTATCTAGTTGTTTTTAAACAATTGTTTCTTAAGTGGCATTGGTTTGTGTAGGAACTTGTTTGATTTACTTTATATCTTGATTTAAAATTTAAAAATTAAATTTGATGAAATTGAATGTTTTAGAATTAATTTCCTTACTGTGAGGGTTTTTTTTCAAATGTTTTGTTGGTAGATTGTTTTACCTTTTATATATTATAATTTTGTCCTTTCAAGGCATTTAATATGCTCTCTTTTAGTCTCTGTAGAAGTGCTGGAAAAGAATTTGAAGCAGATGGGAAGGCAGCTTCAACAGCTTGAGAAGAATTTGGAAACCTTTCCCCCTCCTGAGGACTTGCATGACAAGTTTGTGATAAAGATGTCCATATCCTTTTGATATCTAAATAAGCCTGTAATCAACTGGATTTGCATTTTATTTAATGTTCTAAGTGTGTTTGTGTAACTGAAGTATATTACATACTGCCAAATTATTAACTGTTTGACTATTATCTTTCAGATAAATTAGCTAAGGTATATTTTATCATGAATAATTCACCAAGGATTGCTAACTTTTTTCCATCTTCTTGAATAATAGAATGTTTTTTCCATCCTGTCCCTTCTGTTTGAATTATCCCATCTGATAAAGAATATTAAAACTTAGTTTGAGGAAGTTTGAGTCTACTGTCATGAAATGTGATTTAGCTACTTTTGAACTATTTCAGGAGTCAGATATAGACTGTATAAAAACCCAGCATGACTAACAAGCTCAAGGGCTGATATGCATTAGACATTAACTCTGACTTTACAGAATGTAATATTTCCCTTAGAAAGACTGCCATTCCAAATAAAAAAGGAGCTTGTTACAATTACTGCTTATGTGTACTTTTGCCTAGCTCAAAATGAAATTGAAAACAATGTATATAAATAAGTGACGCTTGTATCTAATTCGATTTACAGTTTACTTTATATTCATTTATCTTTGTTACCAGTAACTTTATAGGTTAGTCTCTAATTAGTAATGAACTTCTTTATTTCCTAAAGCTAACGTGGCTTTGCAGCCCATAGTATGAAATCTGTAATGGATATCTTTTCCATTGTAATGAAATATTGTGATAATGCATTATTAAAATCCCATATGGATATCTGAATTCTGTATGAAAGGACAACCCAGTTATAAAATGAGGACTTATAAATAGACTTCCGTAATATTTTAAACTGGTGTACTCGAAATAAAATGACTTCCTCTTTCTTATTCTCCCTTGAGATTTAGTGAATCAGAAAATTATTATTTGGTTGGTCATAGACTTTATTATATGTGCTTTCAGCTTAATTGTGAATTAGATCAATTTTATCTTCCTTCTGTATCCCTGTCAGGAAATATAAAAATGCACTCAGTAGCAATCAGTTGAGGATAATGTGTTTGTTGCCTCTCAAATCTTATGTCCCAGCCAGCTTCTTTTTAAAGAGTTTGTGTCTATTACTAGACATGGGAAGGATTTCTTTTTTGTTTTTAGACTAAACATTAAGTAAGTATTCATGGGAAGTATAGATATGCACTATCCTTTCAAATGACAAATTATAAATTTTAAGGTAAATATAGTGTAGGTATATTTTTATAATTATTCTTGTATTTGCTTCTCAATCATTTTATCAGGTTAACAAATGCACATGTGACTATTTGTAATCCATAAGTATTGTTAACTAAACCTGTTTGGTATTATTCTCCATAGATATAAAAGAACATCTAAGAAAAGATTTTGATCCATTGTAGCTTTAAGTCAGACACACTGTGAGTGACTAATTAGGAAGCTTGGGTTTCTCAAACTAGCATGAATTCCTAAGCTTGGAGTAAAACCCTGCTCGGCAGACAGTCTCAGGACATAGCCCTACCCGTATTCACATGACACAAGTCCTAAATGATGTCGACTTCCTGAAAGGTGTGTAGCTCATAAAACGCAGCCAGCAGGAAATCAGAAGCAGGAAGGATGAGGCTTTGTTGGAAACAGTTTTTCATTATGAGTAAAATTACACTCCATGGACAGGAGAGCTACTATATCCTGTCGCTAAATATCACAACCTAGAAGCCTCTAATGAACTGATTAGCATTCATGTGTCTCTTGGAACTCAGATATATGAACAGTTGGTGCACTTTGCTATTGACAAAGCTTATAATCATAAATATTCTTTGCCAAGATTAGACTACATTCGTTTGCTTTTCATCTTAGTTAGACATACTAGTTTTGAAGTAATTAAATTCATTCATTGCAAGACTTTGTTTACTTTAATTAGGACTGACAAGTCAGATTTTGAATATTAAATGCATTTATACAGATCTTATTAAAATGGCAAATTGTGAGCTTCCTAGATCTCAGCAAATAGAAGGCTTCAGAAGCAAAAATCACAATGAATAAAAGCATACTAACTGAAGTTTGTTATTAATACCTTTGTTTATGTGTTGTATTTAAAGCATATGCGTTGAAACCTATATCAAGAACTTAGCTCTACAGCCAATTATGGAAACATAGTGTATATCATTTCATTTGTTAAAATTCATTTTTTCAAGTAAATATTCACTTTAAACAATTATTGTTCAGTAAAATATCAAGTGATCTATAAATTGTTTAAAAGAAGCAGGCTTTTGTTATCTGAGATTTCACTGATGGCATTCCTTCAGAAATGTTCTTATTCTTCCAGCACATTCTCACCTGGTGTGTCTGCATCTTCCCACAACAATGTCTGTGGTATATCATTTAAATGCATGTAAAATTATTTCATGTTATCACCCTTCTTATAGTATTGTTTTCCAGTTTTTAAGCCTGACAGGACCATGATTAAATGAAGAGCTCCACAGTAAACATTTATCTGAAAAAATGTAAAACACAAATTGAATGTATGCTCACCTGCTGCTGAATGGAAGTTGTGTGAAGTGTACATTGTTACCACTGAGAAATGTGAGAAATGCCAGAGTTCATGCCATCCTGGGTCTGTTCCTTTCTTTTGGCCTTAAATTTTGCAGACTTTTCTTTTTTGCAGAAACATAACATGTAGACCATTGAACATGCCATTCTCCTCCCTACCTACTCCTCCTAGTCTCTTGACATCTGTATATTTATTAATTTGGTTACTTTGCCATGTTGTATTTTTTTAATGTCATCATCAAAATTCAACTTCATTTTCACTTTACATGGTTCAGTTGTTCTGAAAGATAGCAATGTCTAGGCATTTCTGAAATTAGAGTAGATGCTTAAACAGGACCAGTAAATTCACTGAATAACTTATGTCTACAATATTCAACAATGTGGAAATCACATTTTGTAGGAAAAGTATTAGAAAACCTTTTTTTGTGTGTGTGGGGGCATTTTATAAAAGGAGTAAAACCACAATATTGTACTGGGTGAAAGAAGTGCTGTGCAGTATATAAACTAGCTGAAGAATGGGAAGTTGGATCATTGAGAAGCTGGGTTTTGTTTTCTTAAGTTTCTCATTTGTGGCCACCATCTTTGTGTTATTTCTCTTAATGTTTTTATCTTTACTTTTCTCATTTATTCTTGATCGATTTTAAAATATTGTACTAAATACCCCACTCCAGGGGATTTTTGAAACCTCCAGTGCATAACAACCTTTTTCCTTTTCCCCTGGCCAAGGAGCTTGGTATTCTCTGCTCTTACATATAATGACCTACCTGGTTCTTTCAGCCAGCCTCTTGTTAGCCAATATGTCCTTGCTTCTCACCTCAGTTAGCCTGTCTCACTGTGTAACAAAAGATACTTTCATTTGTTTTATGGGAAGCATGGTAATACATTATTTATGATTTATTAAAGCTTGCCTGAGGATTCAGAAAGCAAAATCAGCCACAAGCCATAGAAGCCAGGCACACATCCTTAATCCCAGCACCCAGAAGCTAGGAGGTTGTGGTACACACCTTTAATTCTAGTACTCAGGATTAAGAGATAGACGGATCTCTATGAATTCGAGGCCACAGGGATCTACACAAGATTGATCCAATAAAGAGAAACATCTCACACAAAGAGGATCTCACATGCCTTTAATCCCAGCACATGGGAGGTAGAGGCAGGCAGATTTCTGTGAGTTCAAGGCCAGCCTGGGCCAAAGTGCACGTGCCAGGATAGGCTTCAAAGCTACACAGAGAAACCCTGTCTCAAAAGACTAAAAGAAAAAAAAACAAAAACAAACAAACAAAAAAGATAGGACCAGAGTCTTTAGTAATCAATATCAGGCATTCATTCTCCAGCCACATTTCAGATAGGAAGACATTGAAGTCTCAGGATTCTCCAGCCATGCTAAGGAGAGGCAGCAGTCTGAAGTTTGGTAGAGCCAGGATTGCCTTTTAGTCTGAGGTAGAGTGAGAGCTAGTGCCCAGCTGCTTTACTTTTCTGATCTTCAGCTTGAAGCTTGAACCCCAGTATTTGTCTCTGGGTTTTGGGGGTTTTTGGTGCTGTAGGGAAGTTCTTGCATTTTCTTTAACTGATCTGTTTCCACATTGTATCATGTATGTTTCATGACCACAGCACCTTACCTTTCTTGTTACATACAGTTTTATTTAGTACCTAGAGGTGCAGTGAACTTATGAATATTTCCTGAAATGAATGTTTGGCTAGATCCTGGGTTCTAAAGAGGATTGTCAAAGAAACTAAATATATAGATCTCACTGAAGTTGGTCCTTGAACATTATATTAATGGAAGTATTGTGGTTTTGTTTGTCTCTTTCTGTATCTCTCTTTTTGTATGTGTGTAACACACACACACACACACACACACACACACACACACACACACACACGCACGCACCACACACACACACACACTTGTGTGCACAAGCAGTACTTTGTGCACATGGAAGCTAAAAGTTGATTTCTGGCATCTCCTCAGTCAATCTAGCTTATGGTTTTGGGACAGGGTCTCCTGCTAAACCAAGAACTTACCCATATGGCTAAGGTTGGTTAGCTAGCCGGTGAGCTACAGGTACATACCTGTTTCCACCTCCGAGTTCTGGGTTTAGAGAGCTTTGTCCCTCATCTGACTTTTTTACATGGGTCTTGGGATCCTCCCTTAAGTCCTCATGCTTGCACAGCAAGCCCTTTATCCAGTTGAGCTATTTCCCCAGTTCTTGGAAGCAGTGTGTTTCCAATGATGGCAATATAATAATTGTCTATGGAATAATGTGAATCTATCTGTAGAAGTTTGGCAGTCAACAGTAGTGGTAGACAATGACTACATACCAAGTTGTCCTTTAACTACCTAGTTCTACTTGTTTGAGATGATGTGAACACAGATCTCATGTATCTTCCATATAGCACACTTACAGTGATTCAAGCTGAAACATTTGAGCAATTCTCCTTAGTTTTCATAAAGACAAAGGAAAAATAGAATTCTCTAAACATGAGGTAGATGTAATATGTGAATGTCAGGAATTTTGCATTGATTTTATCCAAAGCTTATTTTCTTGCATGTCTTCTATGTTTTTCTGAACATTGATAGAACTTGATGCTGGTAAAATGATACAGGGTATCTACTAATAATGTGTAGATTTACTTTTTTTTTTTTTTTGAGACAGAAAATCACACTGAAACCCAGGCTAGCCTCATATCTACAGAGTAATCCTGCCTCAGCCCATCTAGTGTTGAGATTACAGATGGGAGCCAGGATACCAAGCTCTGACATTCTGTCCTAGTTGGGTTTAAGAGATGGCCCAACTACTTCTAGTTTGGGTTTTTCTTTGAGAAGATGTTAATTTTTTTTTTTTACTGTCCCTTAAAAGAAGGGAGCAGCAACACTAAAATAGTATGCTTCATCCATGTAACCAGTTGTCCCACTCTATCATACTGCCTTCGTTCAAAGAGTCAAAGAATTGATTTGCCTATTTCCAAAATTGTCTTAGTTTAATCATGGCAGGCTTTACTGTTATTTTGGGTAATTCCTGTTATTCAAAGCTCCACCTCATTTCCTTTTGATGTAAATTATGTTATACATAATAATGATAAGAAAATTAACTTAAAAACCCCCTGGCTGTGAGGACAAAACCATGTCATTTCTGTGGCTCTGGCTCTTAGTCATCTTTTCCATCCCATCTCTCGATATAATTGCACTGTTTTTCTAAGTATATGCTGATGTACTTTGGATGTTTCCTTACTTAAGGTTCTTACCTCAAAATCCACAAAGTGGCATTGCTTTGTTTTAAACTGTTTAACAAATGGATTATTGACAATGTGTGCATTTCCCACATGTTGGGAGAAAAATTAATAATATTTTTGCAGTGCCTATTGTTAAAACTCAAAACTTTATAGGTAGTTAAAGTTAAATGGGCCAGAAAGGAGAAGTATGGAATCACCCAGAGAGCCTCAGTCCAGCATTTCCTCTTAAATTGTTATACTACATCTCACCAGTGTGTTGAAGTACATGCATATGTGCCATTTTGTGACTAGAGTTACCCGGACTTTTCACCAGACACCTTTGCAGGAAGCCCTCCCCACCAATGTTGAAAATAAGCCATTGGTTGAACTGTCTGGGGAGTATTAATGCTGCTCTTGAGTTTTTCCACAAAACATGTGTGGGGATTTTAAATCAGTAGGTTCTGTTTTGTTTTATTAATGAAATAAAGGATAGTCTGTGGTCTGTTTAGGAAATATCTTTTGCTACCAGTGATTCACCATCCTTATATTACTATAATGACTTTCAGAATGGTCAAATTTATATTGTCAGAAATTAGTGTGAGACTAATTCCATATGTCTAGCTCCACCTTTGCCTAATGTGTTTTATATGTGCAAGGATAAATTTTAGAAGAAACTTAATAGGATTTTTTCAGAAAAGAATTTAAAGCATCCACTTGCCTGCATAATGAAGTTATTAATAAACTTTTAAAACCATCTTGATTTTAGAATCTTAAGTTTAAATTAAGTAAGTGGGCAATAACAATACCAAGTGTTTGTATATATTCCCAACTGCCCAATCTCTATTCTTGGCAAATTGCTCACAATAATTGTGTGACATAAGTGACATTATACCTCCAATTTTACAGTTAAGACAGTCAAGACAGAGAGATGAAGGCTTGTCTAAAAGCACACCACCCACGGGAACCATGCATTGACCTTAAGTTGTTCAATTCACTTTTCTTGGTGCCGTATTTTTTATTTCATTATATTCTATTCACTCATTCTTAACTACTGAAGTCATTTCACAAGCTATATGGTATAGATTACTATTATGGCAGATCAGAAAAAAATTCTTGACCTGAGCTATGTAAGACACATTTTCAACATTTAAACATTTACTTGGCTATTTGCCAAAGTTAACTTGAACTTCAATTACAGTTGCTTTGTTCTATGCCATAGAGATTCTCTGACAGCCTTGCTGAGTTTGGAAGATGTATTAATGGTAAATAAAAAGTAAATTAAAACATGAAACTAGAAATGTTTTCGTTTTCTCTTACTTGGTAAATTTTCAAAACTCCTTAACTAAAATATGTACAGCTTTGTTAGCAGCGCAAATGAGCAGTATGCAAACCTCTCAGAGCTCCTAGACAACATGACACAGTTGTACCAGAGTGTAATGGCCTACTATGCTGTTGACATGAAGAAGGTCTCCGTGGAGGACTTTTTTAACGACCTGAACAACTTCAGAACTACATTCATGGTATGGGCAATTTTTTTTTTTTCGGTTGTTTTCCTGAAAAATGCCCTTGAAATACTTTCCTTGACTGTTCTTTCTGTTCCTGTGTTATTTAATTCTCTTCTCATTTTTTGCAATAAAAGCTACCTTTTCTGGTGTTGTATGTTAGCTTTAAATTTTTCAAATTTCAGATCTGTTGAAAAATATGTAGTTTGTTCTCTTTGGGGCCGTTTTTAACATGAAACTGTAATCAGAAATTTTGATTGAAAAAGTGACAAATTCTGATGGTTTTCATAAAGGCCCCCTCCTGGCTGATTACAGAGCACGTCTATAATAAGTTTTGGGCTATGAATTTGCTTCTTTATGCTTAAGATCAATTTGTATTTTTTGTGGTATAATTTTACCAAATTCCATGCAGCTCCTGGGAAGCTTTTTTCCCTCCTTTTTTAATGCATTGTACAATAAGCTCCCTGTGATTTCCCTTTGAGTAGATTTTACATTCCTACCGTTTGCTTCAGACACTTTAATAGGGAGGTCAGGTCTTTGAGGTAGAATCCTTTCATTTAGGTATTAAAAAGATCTTTTGAAAAGTATTAGCTGATTAGATGGGGGAAAAAACCACACGCATATTAAAGTGAGAAGGTATTGTTGCCTCCCTTGGGAGACAGGGATACAGTACAGCAAGGAAAAAAATTGTTATTCTTAATAAATGGGGAAGTCATTTCTGTATTTCACCAAATGTTTGCAAGGATTAAAAAGTTTTTGCAGTATAAAGAAAGAGGTGATTGAGTTTAAAGAGCTGCTTTTTAATCTTCAATCTCAGGAAAACTTTACTGCTAACTTTGTTGGATGGTTATAATTACTTCCAGATGATTTTATGAGCTTTTAATGAAACCCCTCCATTTGAAAGGCAAACAACAACATGCACATTTACTAACACTTCTTCTGTTTTCTCCAAAAATCTAATTTAAATTGTCTTTATTATTGGATATGCACTTAGTCTTTCTTTGTGTATGTGTGTATGTTTGTGTGAGAGAGATAGAGATAGAGAGCAAGAGAGAGACAGAGAGAGACTTTCTGTGTATTACACTGTCTAGAATTATCTAATGACTCACGAGGCACCATGTTTAGTAAAAATAAACTTTAAAGGGTTTGCAGTTTGAGAATCGTAGACTTGGCTTCCAGAGTGATGTCACTATCAATTTGTTTACTTACATTGATCTATTCTGGATATAAATGATCAAGGTTTATTTTGAAAGTACCAGGTCCTTGGTCCAGACCTACTGCTGTGGGTCGGCGTGGAGTGCTTTCTCTGGTTCATACCACTGTACCCTCCATGCTCACTCAGTGCCTGAACTACTGCTCATTCTAGTCTTAGCTAGCCCCATCATTGCACTCACCCCCTTTCATCCATCTTTCCCAAGCTTTCCTTACTCTCCTAAGATTCGGGTCTGTCTCATTCACCCTTGTGTGTCTAATACAATGCATCATTAAAATTGATAAGTGTTAGGAATCAGGTGACCAGTGGATGCCATGCTTTGCCAACTAAAGCATTGGTGGTGAACATTTGCCAGGTCCCTTCTTCACTTAAACATCAGCCACAACAAGCTGTAGGATAAGTACTTAAAGTGCCCATTTTAAAGGTAAGATTAGTCATGAAGAAATCTGATGAGGCCATCATTATGTAGCTGGCAGGGAGCTAGTGTGTTGCCCTAGGTTGCCTGGCTCCTGATTCTGTACTGTATAAGCGTGAATTGCATGAGCTACTAACTGTGTGGCATCTAGAATACTTTGAAGTGGGACTAAAGCGAGATCAGCTTCTGCTCCCAAAATCCAAATCATGACGGGTTTCATGTATAGTCATTTAATTTGTAATGAATTTATATGAAATATTTATAGTTCAGAAATGGCTTTGCTTTTGAACTGAAGCAATTAAAGCTATGTAGTCAAATTCCTGTAATATAACTTTGACCGATTGACATCATTTCTAAGTTATTCCTGTAGTGGCAACTGAGTCACCTAGATATGACTCTCCAAGCCTGTTCTGCTGTTCTCTAAGAGCTTTGTTACACTAGCGAAAGAGGCAACACCTATTCCCGATTGTTGCCACCAACCATGTAGACCCTGAAGGGGAAATTTCAAGATCTTATAGCCTCTGTGAAGAACAGCAGTTCATTTGACATTGCTTGAACTCACCCTACTTCAATGAGACCTAAGCTTTTGTTGCTGTCCTTCTCGTCCACAATAAGGCTCTGTGCTCTCTTGGCATCAGTCCAGTTAGAGCTACTGATCCAGCTTCTCCGGAAATGAGGTTATATTTTAGAAATAGGTTTGCTTTTGACACCAAGCAATGAAAAGCTATGTAGTCTACTTCCTTGTTCATGGAGGGAACAGTGTAGTTTTGTTAAGCCTTATTTTTGCTAGCATCGTCAACAAGAGGAAACCCCATACACCAGTGGTTGAGCAGTACCTTCTCTCTAGACCATGACTACTACATGGATACTAAGGCCCACTTAGTTTTCACAGTGTTTTATGAGGTACAGCATTGCAAGCAGAGCAAACTGAGGTGGAGAAGCCCAGGTTTTTATTAAAGGGATTCAACGTTGAGAAGAGCAATAATTGAACTGGAGCTTACCTACTTGCAATTCCTGAACTTAGACTTTTAAAAAAATTATTTTTTACTTGTGTGTCATGGAATCTGTGTAGAGGTCAGAGGAAAACTTGGGAGTTAACTTCTCTCCTTCCAGCATGTAGGTCCTGAGGATAGAACTTGGGTCCTCTTACTTGGCGGCAAGCAAGCCTCTACCTGTTAGAGTGCATTCACTTCCCAAGTCCTGAATTTTAAATGAAATAAAGCACCCTGATGTTAAGTTTTCAAGAAAATTGGAGGCTATGACTTTGAGGGGTTTTGTTCTCTCTCTCTCTCTCTCTCTCTCTCTCTCTCTCTCTCTCT